TTGTTGCTGGGCTTGAGCCCATTGTTGCGGCCACTGTGTCAATCCATCTTGTTGGGGGTCCTTCCCACTTTTGCTGACCCTCCTCTTTACCCAGCATGATATGTTTCTCTAGGGACTGGTCCCTCCTGATAACATGACCAAAGTATAAGAAACGAAGTCTGATCATTGTTGCTTCTGAGTATTCTGGCTGTACATATTCCAAGACATATTTGTTCATTCTTCTGGCAGTTAAAGGTATATTCAGTATTCTTCACCAACATGACAATTCAAATGCATCAATTCTTCTTTGTTCTTCCTTATTCATTGTCCAGCTTTTGCATGCATAGGAGGCAACTGAAAATACTATGGCTTGGGTTAGGTGCACCTTAGTCTTCAAAGTGACGTCTTTACTCTTTAACACTTTAAAGTCTTTTGCAGCCTATTTGCCTAATGCAACACATCCTTTGATTTCTTGACTGCTCCTTCCATGAACATTGATTGTGGATCCAAGTAAAAGGCAATCCATGACAACTTCAATCTTTTCTCCATTTATTGTGATGTTGCTAATTGGTCCAGTTGTGAGGAGTTTTTTTTTGTTGTTGTTGTTGTTGTTGAGGTGTAATCCATACTGAAGATTGTAGTCTTTGGTCTTCATCAGTTAGTGTTCCAGTCTTCATCACTTTCAGCAAGCAAGGTTGTATCATCCACATATTGCAGGCTGTTAATGAGTCTTCCTCCAATTCTGATGCCAGTTCTTCATATAGTCCAGCTTCTCAGATCATTTGCTCAGCATACAGATTGAATAAGTATGGTGAAAGGACACAACCCTGACACACACCTTTCCTGATTTTAAACCATGTAATATCTCTTTATTGTGTTTGAACAACTGCCTCCTCCTAGTCTATGCATAGGTTCCTCATGAGCACAATTGAGTGTTCTGGAATTCCCATTCTTCACAATGGTATCCATAATTTGTTATGCTTTCTTCCGGTATGATAGCCTTAATGTCATCCCACAACTCATCTTTCCTTCAGTCACTGATGTTCAATTCATCAAACCTGTCAGATAGTCTCTAAATTCAAGTGGGATATACTCAAGGTCATATTTTGGCTCTGTCATATATTTTTTTCAGCTTCAACTTGAACTTGCATATGAGCAATTGAAGTTCTATTCCACAGTTGGCCCCTGTCCTTGTTCTGATTGATGATATAGAGCTTCTCCATTATCTCTTTCTATAGCTATAGTTGATTTGATTCCAGTGTATCTCATCTGGCATAGTCCACATGTACAGTAGTCATTCATGTTGTTGAAAAAAAGCATTTGCAATGAATAAGTCATTGGTCTTGCAAAATTCTATCATGCGATCTCCAGAGTCATTTCTATCACCAAGGCCGTATTTTCCAACTACCTGATGCTTCTTTGTTTCCAATTTTTGCATTTCAGTTACCAGTAGTTATCAATGCATTTTGATGGCATGTTTTGTAAATTTCATTGCTTTTGTTTATAGTTTCCTTGAGCTCTTGGGAGGCCCCCCCCCCACATACATACATACTACATATGTATATGTCTGTCTGTCTGTCTATCTATCTGTCTATCTATCTATCCATCCATCCATCTATCTATCTTCTGAATTCTTTCTCAGGTAGTTTTATTACCTGTTTTTCCTTGGGGAGATTTCCTAATTATTTTGGTCACTTGCTTCCACTATCTTGTCCTGTTTGTTTGAATAGAAGTTGTCTGTTATTGCTGAAACATTTTAAGTTCTTGTTTTTATTTGTTGATTGTGTGTTGGTTTGTTTCAATATATCTGGATGACTGGAACAGGTGTGTTCCTTTGGATGTTAACTTGGCAGCACTAGGGCATCCCAGCTATCTCTAGATTGGTGGAATAATCAGTGGGAATGTAGGTGTGCGTCTCTGACATGAAGAGGAACTGTAGGATGAACAGGTGTTGTCCACTGTCTGTTATTGATCCAGTGGTGCCGAGTTGATAGTGGTGCTTGTCCATTAGGTGAGGTGGTCAATACAGTAGAAATGGCTGACTAGTGGAGAGTTAATGTCATCCTCTTTGAATTCCTTCTGATCTTTGTACACTGTGTCGTTATTGCTGTGTGGATTCTGTGAAGTTCTTCTCCTCTTTTTTTTTTCCCTTCTCATCAACATCTGTGTCTCTATTCAAGATGCCACTGCTTCAAATGGTCCAGCCTCTTCTCTTTCTCCAGTCACTAATCTTGGTCCATTTCCCTTTCCATTCAGCACTCAATCTAATTCTTTATCTTCTCATTTGACACTCAGAATTCCAGGATTATTATTTATATCTGTTTCACTCAGATTTTCAGATTTTGTTGATGAGAGAATTGGCAGATTATGCTAACAGGACACCATCTTTTCTCCTCTTTTGAAAGTCACTTTCTGGTTACAGAGCACTCTCACAGTCTTTATTTGATCAGGCACGGTATCCTTTTTTTTGGCCTCTAGCATCAACAGAAATAAAAAGCCCAATTTGGGGTCCTATTGAAATCAGGATTCCAAGCAAGGCCATTCCACCCACCTGTTCTCTGCATCTTTGGGTAATTTCAGACTACAGAAGTTGGTAAAAGTCTTCAATTTCTTCATCTTTGGCTTTAGTGATTGGTACATAACTTTGAACAAAAGTAGTATTAACTAGTCTACCCTGCAGGCATATGGATATTATCCTGTCACTGACAGCATTATACCTCAAAATAGATCTTGAAATATTCTTTTTGATGACTCCATTCCTCTTCAATTCTCTATTCCTGGTGTAGTAGACCATATGATTGTCTGATTCAAAATGGCCAATACAAGTCTACTTCAGCCATTAATGCCTAGAATGTCTATCTTCATGCATTCCATTTCATTTTTCACAATTTCCAGTTTTCCTAGATTCCTGCTTTCTATATTCCATCTTCCTATTATTAGTGGATGTTTATAGGTGTTTCTTCTCATTTTGAGTTGTGTCACATCAGCAAATGAAGGTCCAACAAGCTTCACTCCATCCACACCATTAAGGTCTACTTTGCTTTGAAGAGGCAGCTCTTCCCTGGTTGTATTTTGAGTGCCTTGGCACCTGAGTGGCTCATCTTCCAGCACTGTATCAGACAATGTTTCACTGCTATTCATAAGGTTTTCAGTGGCCATTTTTTTCAGAAGTGGGTGGCCACCTTCTTCCTAGTCTGTCTTAGTCTGGAACCTCCACTGAAACATGTCTACCAGGATGACCCCACTGGTATTTGAAACTCCAGCATCACAGCAACATGCAAGCCCACCGCAGTACAACCAACAGACAGATGTGTGGGGGTGTATCATCTTTAAAAAGAAATAATTTTACTTTTTCCTTTCTAGTTCTTATTGCTTCTAAGTGCTTTCCCTATTCCAATTGCATTGATTAATTCCTTCAGCACCTTGTTAATCAGCAGTGGTGAAAGCGGGCATGCTTTTCTTGTTCCTGTCGTTAGTGAGGGAGCTTCTCATCCCAGTAAGATGCTGATTTGCAAGCCTAGGTCAATTTTAATTTTATTGTTTTTAAAAACATGAAAGGATATCAATATATTTTCAAATGTCTGTTCTGCATTTATGGAGATGATAATATGCTTTTTCCTTAGCTTTATAATATGTTATTTTACATTAATTCCCTAGGTAATCTTTTCTGGTACACACTCTCATTAAGAATATTTGCTCCTCAATGTTTCTCAACATTTACAATCATCTGTGGCTCATCTATGAACCTGGAAAGATGAAGAGTGTGCACTTTCTCTCCAAACCTACTGATCTAAGGAATGATGCAGAACAGTACAAGGCTTAAGAGTTTAGACTCTGGAGCCAAGCTACCTGGGTTTTTATTCCAGCTCTGCTATTTACTAGGCACATGACTTTGGGCAAGTTGCTTGATCTTGCTATGCTTCAGTTTTCTCATCTATAAAATGGGGATCATGATAACTTACATTGTAGGGTTGGGAAGATAAAATGGGCTGATATACTATAAGCATCTAGAATAGTACCTGGTCTACTGTATTCTTACCAAACACACACACACACACAAACTCATTGTCATCGAGTTATTTCTGACTCACAGTGACCCCCGTGGAATTTCTGAGGCTGTAAATCCTTATGCAAGTAGATTGCCCAGTCTTCCTTCCATGGACCAGCTGGTGGGTTTGAACCACTGACCTTCTGGTTAGCAGTCAAGTCCCTTATCCACTACACCACTAGAGCTCCTTACTGTATTCTTAACCTTATTAATATCTTACATCATGCCCCTCCAATGCACACACATGCCATTCATCTTCTTTTTACCTGGACTTTCTACTCTAGTACCAAGTAAATGGACAACAAAAGGAGTGAGGAAATATAAAACTAAGTGTTGTTGAGTTGATTCTGACTCATGACAACCCTATGTGTGTCACAGTAGAACTGTGATCCATAAGGTTTTCAATGGCTGATTTAGATCATCAGACCTTTCTTCCAAGGTGCCTCTGGGTAGACTTGAACTTCCAACCTTTTGGTTAGTAGGCATGCAGCTAACAATAGAAAGGTAAAGTTTGCACTTCATTGGTATCATGGTTCTACTGGCTGGAAATAAGGCTAAGATCTGCTTAAACTGTTCTCACCACTACACTTTGGCTGATGAACCCTCATGGGTAGAACCTGACCCAGAGAGAAGGGTTCTCAGGATGGGGCTATGTTGGGAGGAGTGGTATTTAGGTCCATATCCATTAACTTGTAAGGGGACCTGCACTTGGCATTTTTACAAAGGGGAGAGAGGTCAGCAGCAATAGGCTGTGTGTGGAAGGTTTGCTGAGAGGCCTGCTTTACTGGGGTTGTGTGAAGGCCATTCTCACTCTGCCCACATCTTAACCGCCTTCATCACCATTGATCTCAGGCCAAGAGCATGTGGGTGGTTTTCTGAGCTGCCAGCCAGGTGGTAGGAGGGTCCTTGACTCAGCCAAAAGAATCCTGGGGCCTGAACCTTCTCCAAACCCTCGGCCCATCCTGGGACATACTCAGAGATGTTGAGAGCCAGCCCAGTCCAGTAAGCTTCCATGGGAGCTGTCACCACTGCGTCAAACAGCACCTCCCGTATCAGCTCTTCATCACCTGGGTAAACAAGATGAGAGGGCAAAATGAAAGACTAATTTACTTGTTTCATCCATGATATGGACATAGCTCATCTGTCCTTTGAAGGAACCTTGAAGTTCATGGAACAAGCTATGCTTCAAGCATGTACCTGGAACATGTAAAACCATCTACATGAATTGAGGAAGTCACTTAACCTCCTTCAGTGTTAGTCTCCTCAATTCCAAAATACATGACTAAAAATAAATGTTTCTAGGACTCTTTCTAGTTCTAACATACTATGAAGTTAAGAGAATACCTCTGTGACATTGGATCTGGACCCCACCTGTCTCTTCCATCTCAGCTCTCACCTACAAGTTTCTTGCCCATCACCCTCATAACATGTTGGTCTCTTGTCAGTCCTGTGGATTTGAACTTGCCAAACTTCTCCTTGCCTAGAGCTTCCACACATGCTGCTCCCTAGTTTGAATGCTCATTTTCCCACTTTGCATAGATGGCTCTTTTTATTCTCAGCTTAAGTGATAACTCCTTACAGAGGTGGTCTTCTCTGACCATCTGTTTAATTGAAACAGACCTCATTTTTCTCCCTCACAGCTCCCTATTATGGCACTTTTCACAATCTGTAATTATCTGTGTCTATATATGTTTGCTTGTTTACTCTCTACCTTTTCCACTAGATTATAAACTCCATGAAAGCAAGGGCCTTGTTTCTTTGGGTTTTGTCTTCACCTTCCATGCCTAGGCCAGAGCCTGGCACAGAATATATGCTCAGTGAATATATATTGATGGAGTGAATGAATGAACAAATAAATGCCCTACTGGGCCAGCATAGGAGGCAGAGTCTTCTTGTGGGAGGGATGCTTATGTTACGTGATGACTTGCTCCTTCTTCTAACAAAGAAGAGGAAGGACCATGCTGAGGGTGTAACCCAATGATTTCACCATTTGCCTTAGTGCAGGGGAATTTAGGGTTAGCCTGAGAACGAGGATTTAAAAAATAATCACAGCTTCAGAGACTTTAATAGGCCATTTGATCTAATATTCTCCTCTGTAGATATAAGGACTCTGGGGTGCAGGGTGTCAGCTCTTCGCCTGGAGCCCTATGTTAGGTGGTGATCAAGACAGACCTAACGGGCTGGTGCCCTTATATGTGTGAGTTTGTCTTCTGAGTCCCAACAGTGCTCTGTGGACAAAGACTTAAAGAGATCTCAGTTCCTGACATGGTGACACATTCATGTCACGACAGCTCCAAGAAGCTTACATACCAACTTGGCCCCATAATAAGCCTGTCTCTGCCTTGTTTCTTTGGAAATCCCCCTGTTCACCCATGGCCACCCATGACTTTGAGGAATAGTACCACAAGACAGCCTTCTACCCTTCCTGCAAAGTCCTGAGCTGCAGGACTTCATTGGAAAAGTTCCTGAGGTGAGGCCTCAGTGGGCAGGTGGCACTCACACTCCAGGTTTGGGTCCTTCCCCGTCAAGAAGTGGACAATGGCCTCCAGCTGGCTGAGCTTCCGGTGGTCTGGATCAATATCTGTGATGCAGTAGATCCTGGAATCCAGAAGAACCAGAGTTACTTCCAAATATTCCGCCATTTTCCTCTCATCCTCTACTCCTCATGAATAGTGATTTTCTTGCTTACCATTCACCGGCCAAGGTCAGATCCGGGTGAAGCAGGTCATGCAGGCCTGAAATCAGAGTTTACACTCATTACGATACATGCCCACTGTTAGCAGAGTTTACCCCTTGCACTGTTAAAAAACAGCTACACAGTGAGCGCCTTTAGACCGGGCTGGATTTTATTCTTTGTTTTGTCTAGGCACTGTCCTTAGCTCAGTGTATGGACTCAATCACGGACTGTGTATTTATCCATGTTACTCCCACTTCCTGAAATGATTGTTCTCTCCATTGTCTCATGTCCAAATATCACATTTTCTTCAAGGTTCAAACACAATGTCTTCAATGATCTACTTGGCCAGATGTCATCTCTTCCTCTCTTTCATGTCACTCACACCTTTTCAAGCTGAATTTTAGTTATTATGGTCATGTTCTAATGATTCCACTCACAGCAGCTCCATAAGGAAGCCCTGTCTAATTCTTCTTAGGATCTCTCCCAGTAGCTAACACTTTGAAATCAGCAATTTCTGTCTAATTGGCTTTACTATACCCAACTGAGCTAAATGGCAGGTCAGAGATAAGCCTGGAGATGGGCTGTGTCTGTTTTATGTAATCTCTGCAGCCTCATTGCCCAGCACGGCTCCTGCATTGGCCATGTGCTTAGCACATGTTTGTTGATTGACTGAACAAATTAAGAAACGCTTTTTTGAGCACTTATTCATGCTCAATATTGAATAGGTGCCCAATCAGAGTTTTGCTAAATTAAAGAAAAGGATGATGAAAGGTGAAGGGGGCATCTATGGAGCCATGAATATTATAGATATAAAGCAAATTGATAAAGGATGAGGTTCCTTTCCTCAGTAAGCCCAGCTAATTCCATGATTCCAAGTCCCTGACCTCTGGCCCATCTCACCACAGAGATGGGTAAAATATAGCATCCTCTTTCCTTTGAGTAATCTAACCTGGGAACACCTGGGTAGAGGAAGAAAAGCCTAAGAAGGAAGAAGGTATAATGGAGGCCTAAGGATTTTGATTATTTTGGAGACAGGGGAAGACAGAGAGAGTGTCCCAGTAGACAAGGACACATGCTATGAAAGGGCAAATAGCATAGCTATATGGGAGAACATAGCTGGCCACCTAACCCAAACTGGGTGGGGGAAAGGGTACCTGCCAGGGACAGCTTCCCAGAAAATGACACTTAAGTTGGGACCTGAAGGTTGGGTCAGAGTTAGCTGCTATAAGAAGAGTGGAGGATGGAGAGGAGAGCATTTTGGGGGAGAGCATAGCATATGGCAAGGCCTGGAAGCTTAGTGTATGGAGGAATGGAAAAAATTCAGAAAGCCATCAAAGATCTTTGAGCATTGACATGATCAGATCTGACATTTCTATAAAGATCCCTCTGGCTAAAGTTTAGAGAAGGAAAGAGGGAGATCAGTTAGGAGGCCATTGTTGTTGTCCAGGAGAGAAATGACAATGACTACAATGGTGGCAGAAAGATGGAGGAATGAGATGCATTTGAGAGATAGTAAAGAGAGATGGAATGTGTTAAGTAGAATAGTGACCAGATCATCTAAGGACTTCCTGTGAGATCCCTGAACCCTGGGTGTAGGTTTTGTTCTCTCAAGGTACTCAGGGTGCTATAAGTCAGGGACAGGTTGGGACAGGGAGTTGGAGTCTCTCTCTTTCATTCTTCCTCCATTTCCCACCATTCTTCTCTGGTTCACTTCCCACAAACCACCTTATTCTTCCTAGTCTTCTCTCTTTCTTATCCCCCGTTTTAGTCTTCTGATGGTGTGGTGGTTATGTTTTGTGTCAACTTAAGTAGACCTGGTTGAGTGGCTGGGCAGCTGGATGTAGTATTCCCTGTGATGAAACTGGTAATTAACTCCATGGTGGAATCTATTGTGAGCAGCTGAGGAGCTGCCTTTGGGGATGTGGCCTAATTCTCGTATATAAGCAGCAGCCTTGTAAATGGTCTCTAGCTTATGGCATGCTTGGGCCCTGCATATAGCTGTGTTGTTGTTCTGCCTGCCATGGTCTGCCGACCTGGGGACTTACAATGGACTTAAATTAATGGCCTGCTGTGTGTTTTGGTAACATCAGGATTGTACCTTTTTACTTGTCAACCTTGGGCTTCTCAGCCTCAGCAGCCAGCAGCTGTCTGAGTGAAGAAAAGCCTCTAGCTTCAGTGGGCTGGGAGCCGGAGGCAGAGCTGAAACCCAAGGCTGAGGAGCTTTCACCCAGCCCCTAGAGCCTGACACTTTGAACTTGGACTTAAAGCCTCCAATGGTAAGAGAATAAACTCCTGTTTAAGGCCATCCCGTTTGTGGTATATTCTTGTCAGAGTGGCATTAGGTGACCAGAACAGATGGCATTGTTCAAAGCAACACATTCCCTTGACTGCCCTCCCTCTCTGGTTCAGCCAAACCTCCCAGAATTGGACTCTGTATTGTCATGCTTTGTCAGTTATTGCAGGACTGACTACCCAACCCTGCAAGGCTGGGTACCAGGACAAACAGAGCCCTCCTCTTCAGGTAGCCGCTGCTCTGAAAGCCCATTCTCATGCCCAAGACCTGGGAGGTAGTCAAACAAACTCCACTCTGGGGCTTGTGTTGGCCAACATCCCAGGAGAATCCAGTTTTTCCTCTATACTATCCATCAGAACTTAAGCTGACATACCTTCTTCTACTGACATGTTTCCAAGGAGGATGTATTCTCCATGGCCCTGGGATAGCACCACTCCCAAACTGTGGGGAGAACAGAGAACACACACACACATCCACAGCACATGACAATCCATCTCCCCGTCTACTCCTTGGTCCTTCCTTCATTCTAAGTTTACAAGCTTCTTATGCTCCTGAGATATGGCATGCATGTCAAACCCCCTTTTTTTTTGTTCTGGCCTCATAGGCTGTCCTGTCTAGAACTGAGGCAACACTTCTATTTTTCCATTAGCCATTCATCCTGAGAAGGACTAATAGGCGATTCTGTAGACCAAGAGCCCTCTTGGCTCCCACTTTAATCAAGACACATCTTGAACCTCATAGGGACCCCCCTGACATGTAGAAAGGGCTCCATGTCTCAGAAAATGTCCCACAAATAGGAAATTCCTTTCCCACCTGGCGAGTTCCACCATGCCTTCCTCTCCTGGTACAGCATTGGTTTTCAACCTTGGCTGAACATTTGAATCACTAATGGAGCTTTAAAAGATCCTAGTCCCAGTCCCCAGCCCTAGAAACTCCAATTAAATTGGTTTGGATGGGTCCTGGGCTCTTGTATTTTCACTAAGTTTCTCAGGTATTCTAATGAGCAGTCAGGGCTGGGAATCATTGTTTCAGAGAGAGATGAGGTAATTCAACAATAAGAGCCATTTGTTTCTAATCTGTATAAGGCTTAGAATCAAATATTTGTAGAGTTTGAAGAAACCCAAGTATCTTAAAATTTGATCCTTTTATTTCACAATAAGGCATTGCTTTAAGAGTTTTGAGCAGATTATGCCATTTAAAACAACAACCTCATAGAGTTGCTATTCTTATTACCCCATTTTACAGCTGGGAAGTCTAAAGCACAGAGAGGTTAAGTAACTTGACTAAAGTCACAAATCTTGTAAGTGGTAGAGTTGGGATTCAAACCCAGGTAGTTTGACTCTAGAGCTTGCATTCTTGCTCACCAGGTGACAGTGGCAAAACAGGTCTAGACCTCAAGTGTCCTGAATGCTGACACATTGCCAACTAAGGATGACAAAATCTAACCCCAAAACTTAAAATTCTACCCCAAGTTGTTGGCATTCATGTTTCATGTACCTCCCACACCCTCTGCAAATAAAACGTGGGTCCCTTACCTGAAAGGTGTGTCATTGATATGTGTGAAGAAGTAGTCATTGGTCAAGAAAAGGACTCGCTTCTGAAAGAGCCAAAAGAGAAGAGTGCTTGCTGGAGAGAAGAGTGCCTAACCATGCCAACTGACTGCTCACCTAATGCCCTTGGAGTTTTCATGACCTCTGTACCACTGCCTTCACTTCTTACCTCCTTCTTTGAGCACTGCTAACATGCCTTATGTTATTAACAACCTGTAGCTGAATCATCTCAAGGCCCAGCAAACTACAACTCTTTGGAGGTTGCCTAGATTTAAGGACTAGGATCTAGACCTGTGCTATCCACTATAGGAACCATTAGCCACATGTGGCTACCAAGCATTTGAAATGTGTGACTGAGGAACTAAATTAAATTTCAAAATAATTTAAATTCATATGTTGTTGTTGTTATGTGCCTTCGAGTTGGACCCGACTCATAGCGACCCCTCTTTGGGTTTCCAAGACAATATCACTATGGAAGTAGATTGCCCAACCTTCCTTCCGAGGAGTGGCTGATGGGTTTGAACCACCAGCCTTCTAGTTAGCAGTCAAGTGCCTTAGGAACTATACTACCAGAGCTCCCAAATTTATAGATGTACATTTAAATAGCCAAAGTAGCTAATAGCTACCATATTTTATATAGTGCAGGGGTAGACAATGCCTTGGGGTCAGCATGAGATCAAAGAAGAAGCTACCAGTTGGGGCTAACAACTTCTAGAGTTCATCTACATACAATCCACTAAGAGAGAATGGGGCGACTTCCAGTAAGATGGAGGAATAGGCAGACAAGTGACACAGACCCTCTTTATCAAAGAAAAGAAAAACCAGTTGACAGAGATAATGAAGATAAGCCTGGAGCCCTGAGCTTTGAAAGGAACTATACAAAAGTGGATTAGGCACCAACTAGTGGAAAAATCTGAACGAAAACAGTGAGGACAGAGATGGTCAGAGCTGCGAACTGTCAGCTACTCTGATGGGACCAACAGCCTGAATATTTCCAAGTGGTGTTAGGATCTGAGAACTGACCTAAAGATCAGGCCTGGTCACCAAGGGCTGCAGGGAGAACTGCTCTGGTAGCCTATGACTAGGAAGGGAAACAGCAAGGAGGGAGATAACCTGAGCTGTTGACTTCCCACTGTCTGAGGGTGCAGCCATTTTGATTGTTTACATGTGGCAGCCATTTTGGACATTTAAAGTGATCGAGGGCACACCCATTTTGAATGTTTACAAGTGGTGGCCATTTTGGATATTTAAAGTGACCAAGGGCTCGGCCATTTTGAATCTTTCCAAGTGACAATCATTTTGGATTTTAAAGTGATAGCATTCTCATTTGGATTCCAGGGACCTAAGAATAGGCTCTGTTTGCCAGGGTCAGCAGGGACATACAAGAGGCTGACAACAGGAAAGGAGACAGGTGGTGAGTGTATAAGTGCTGTCAACTAGTGAATAGAGGAGCACAGTACAATACCTTGCTTGCGTAGATAAGATACAAACAAAATAAAGAAAACGAAAATCATGGGCAAGTCACTCCAAAGTACAATCACCAATTAAATATAAACACAAGCATGTCACAATGACTCAGAGACAATAGGGCATCACAGTCCACACAAAGAAACAAGATAAAGCAGGAGAAACAAGGGACCAGATACAGACCCAAAACACATCCATGAGGAAGATGCAGCATTGGAACTACCTGATGAGGAATTCAAAAGAATTATATTTAGGTATCTTCAAAGGATTGGGAGACAGATCAAGGAAAACACAGACAAAATCCTAGAGGAATTTCATAAGAAAATACAAGAACAAAATGACAAAATAAATGGAAAATTATAAATGATTTAAAATCTACAGATAGAAATCCAGAAGATTAATATTAAATTGTCAGAAATAGATAACACATTGAAAGGGCAAAGGAGTAGAACTGATGCAATGGAAGACAGAATTAATGAGATTGAAGACAAATACCTGAATACTTCTTTGCAAAGGGATCAATCATAAAAAAGATCAAACAAAATGAAGAAAGCCTAAGGTCCATGTGGGATACCATCAAAAGGAATAACCTACGTGCCATTGGAATTCCAGAACAGGAAGAGAAAAATAAAACCACTGAGAAAATTGTCCAAGATTTGTTGGAAGATAACTTCTCTGATATGAAAGATGAGAATATATCCATTCAGGAGTGAACCCCAAACAGGATAGACTCCAAAAGAAAATCACCAAGACATATCATCATCAAACTCACCAAAACCAAAGACAAAGAATCATGAGAGCAGCACAGGAAAAATGAAAAGTTACTTACAAGGGGCAACCAATAAGACTAAGCTTGGATTTCTCAGCAGAAACCATGCAGGCGAGAAGACAGTGGGATGGTATATACAAAACCCTGAAAGAGAAAAATTTCCAACCAAGAATTATGTACCCAGCAAAACTGCCACTCAAATATGGTGAAATTAGGAGATTTCCAGATAAGCAGAAATTATAAAGGAATTTGTGAAAACTAGACCATCCTTAGAAGAGATGCTAAAGGGAGCCCTTTGGACAGAGAAACAACAACAGCCAACAACAACTGACCATTAACACACATGATGACATAACCCAGAAACCAACCCAGCTATGGAAGTATCCAAAGTAAATAAATCTACAAGATTGTAAACAGGGAACCAGAGACATCAATTGGCAAATGAGGACAACAACAAACCAAAAGAGGGAAAAAACTGTGTTGTTACAGAACTTCTAGATGGTAGGGAAGTCAAGACACTACAAGATAGAACAGACTGTTCTAAACTTGGGAAGAAAAGTATAACCTCAGAGAAAAAGGATAAACCTTCACATCAAAATCAAAAAGAGGACCAGCACAAATATTTAGCAAATACTAAAACAATAGCAACAAAGGAAATGATAACACGATTCATAAACAAAATGAGCTCAGCATAGAAAATTATATGGAACAAAGAAATCGACACCATGAAAAAGCACATAACAAAAATGACAGCAACAAATTCTTATTTGCCAATGATTACATATCTGGCAAGGGACTTACATCTAAGATTTATAGAAAACTCCAACACTTCAACATCAAAAGAATTAAAAATCCAATTGAAAAATGGGCAGAAGACATGAATAGACACTTCACCAAGGTGGATATTCAGATGGCCAGCTAATACATGAAGAGATGCTCACAATCATTGGCCATCAGAGAGATGTAAATCAAAACAACAATGAGATACCGCCTCACCCCAGCACTGATGGCAAGGTTGAATGGGACAGAAAATAACAAATGCTGGCAGGGATGTGGAGAGATTGGGACTCTCATACACTGCTGGTGGACCGTGAAGTGATACAACCACTGTGGAAAGCAATATGGGGATTCCTTAGAAAGCTGGAATTAGAGATACCATTTGACCCAGCAATCCCATTACTAGGTATATATCCTACAGAGATGAGAGCCAGGATAGGAACATATACATGCATGCTCATGTTCATCACAGCACTATTTACAATAGCAAAAAGATGGAAACAACCTACGTGCCCATCAGTGGAAGAGTGGATGACCAAACTATGGTACATACACATAATGGAATGCTATGCAGAATAGCATTCCATTATGTGTATGATGGAAGAATAATGTAGAGTCTGCAAAACACCACACAATATGGATGAACTTGGAGATTATGCTGAATGAAATAAGTCAATCACAGAAGGACAAATATAGTATTAGTTCATTGTTGTGGAGGGTCAAGGAAAGGTTTATATATGGAGGGAAACTTTCTTTGTTGGTGGCCAAGTGTGGGATGGAACACTGCAAAAAAAAAAAAAAAAAATGCATTGACCCATGTCACTTTAGTGTATTTCTCTGTACATAAATTATATCTCAATAAAATGCTTTAAAAAAAAAAAGAATAGAATATGGCACCATTCCCCTCTCCACAACACCCCATCTCAGGCTACGTCATTCTTTTACAGTTTCTTTTTCCTTTCAAAGATGTCAACTTTTAGGTTTCATTTAAATGTGTACAAATTAGGGTATCATGGTGGCTAAGAGCATAGACTTGAATCCCTGAGTGGTACAAATGGTTAATGTGCCTGCTGCTAACTAAAAGGTTGGAAGTTCGAATCTACCCAGAGGCATCTCCAAAGAAAGGCCTGGTGATCTTCATCCAAAAATAAGTCGTTGAAAACCTTATTGAACACAGTTCTATTCTGACACACAAAAGATTGCCATGGGTTGGGGTCAACTTGATGACAACTGGTTTTAAGGGCCTTGACTGGGCATCAGACCACTGTGGCTTGAAATCAGCTTTGCTACTTACAAGTTGTGGGGTTTGAGATAAGTTACTTCACTTATCATAAATTACAACGCTTATTTTGGATAAGTTACTTCAGTGCTTTCATTTGTAAGTCAGGATTAACAACAGTAATAACAACAACAACACAACGCACTGCCACACTGCCGTGGAGTTGGATCTGACTCATAGCCACCCCTCTTTGGGTTTCCAAAGTGATATCACTATGGAAGTAGATTGCCCAACCTTCCTTCTGAGGAGTGGCTGGTGGGTTTGAACCACTAGCCTTCTGGTTAGCAGTCAAATGCCTTAAGCACTATGCCACCAGAGCCCCCATCTCTTGCAAAACATTGCTGTGAAGATGGGAGCTTGTTTCTAATTGATGGAGGTGGTATAGGGAAGAACGTGATTTGCTCTGGGCTCTGGAGCGTTCTGTGGATGGTCCTGTCCACACACATATGTTAATGTTATTGAGAAAATCAAGTTTTGTAGTTGGTTTAGGAGTTGTTCTTATTTCTGGTGTCACTTCTTTCTGGCTTTTCTTTTACCCATTTTAGAAATTGGAGTAAGATGTAAGGGACACAGAGGGAGAAGGATGGCATAAAACAAAGGAGGGTGATGGAAGGGTTTTCTTCCTAGGAATCTAGCTTTAGGCTAAACCAGAATTAGCAGTTTCTAGCACCAAACTCAGGTCCCTGGGTGGCACAAGGCGTTTGTGCTTAGCTGCTAAAGGTTGGTAGTTTGAACTTAACCAGCAGCTCCATGGA